CAGTCACAGCTCTTCCCTCTGTGTTGTGGCTTTCTCTTTTCTTATTGTTGCCTTTACATCACGGCTTTCTAAACACGGTCAGAGATGTACAGACCCAGCATTCCCTGGGACCTCACTAGAACTGCAAATTCCTAGGACTAACCTCAGACCTAGGGCTGAGTCTTTTGGGCCTAGGATATATCCAAGGCCATCTCAGACTACTATCCAAACTCAGTGACTATTTGTCAAATGTACCAGGTATTTAAATGAATCCTAATGACAGTGTGGAACCATAGACAGATGTCAAGCAGGGCAATGTCATGAACTGATGGTCTTTTATGTTAGTTCTTGAAGGCTATGTATAGTAGAGATTAAATGAAGTTACTGGAAGTAAGTAAATCTACTAATAAAAATTTACTATTAAGATTCATAATTTAGTAGAAATGGTAATAATTTACAAAAAGGATACCTTGCTTTAAAAACTTACACATTCACAATAAAATGCATTTGCTGTGGATATTGTTCTATATAAATAAAACACTGGTGGCCAGTGACGAGGCAGGAAGTAGGTGGGACAAGGAGAGAGGAGAATTCTGGGAAGCGGAAGGCTGAGGGGAGAGACACTGCAGCCACGGCCAGGAGAGGCAACCTGTAAAGACGCCGGTAAGCCACCAGCCACGTGCAAGGTATAGATTTATAAAAATGGGTTAATTTAAGATAAAAGAACAGTTAGCAGAAAGCCTGCCACGGCCATACAATTTATAAGTGATATAAGCGTCTGAGTGATTATTTTATAAGTGGATTGTGGGACTGCGGGGCTTGGGGAACCTGGAGAGAAGCCCTCCAGCAACATGCATTCTTTTAATATTACGTTTATATATAAAGTTTTATAAGTTTGTTGGGAAAGTAGGTGTTTTATGTGCAAAATTTATAAACAAATACATTTTCTCACAAAATATGATTTAACTTCTAAAAACCAGTTCTAAAATGTTATATGGGCTTAACGTTTGTCATTTTTCTCTGCAGTATAATTTGATGGATTATGAAAGCAAGATTTCTTAGCAAGTTGGTAACCTTACAAAACTAAAATATATTGACACTTCATTGTTAATATAGAAATAAAAATAGTGTTATATTGTTTGAATATATATTAGTATAAAGATTATATATTATTCATTTTGTTTTGTATTAAAATGAAATAAAGTAATCACCTAGAAATATTTCAAATAGAGACTATTTAAATGAAAAGAAAACAAGTTAATATTAATACATAGTATAATGAGTCCAGCAAGGCCAAAGCCACATGACTCAAGAGAATTAAGAGACAAAGAAGCCCAAGATTGCTCTGTGTTATACATTCCTTTCCCATCTAGACACTCCTCTCAAAAGTTGGGAATTAATTGACCCTGTCTTCATGAGGACATAGTCAAAGGTTTCACATTATCATGGTCATAATGTCATCTCTAGGAAACCAGAGCTTTTAACTGGTTTTAAATCAAGTCCTTCACTTGGGTCACCCTGATAGTTATCCACTCCATGTCTTCTTCCTCACTAATAAAAAAATTTAGGAGATGCTGCCATGAAAGGTTTATAATATTGTGACTTTACTCCTGGGAATAGGCTCTTAACTACCCAAGGGGAAAAAAAAAACTGGGATTCTAGCATTGCAGTCTACTTTCAAACTGGCTCTGGGAAGGCTGGCTGTCTAGAAAAATGAAACTAGATTCCTATCTCTTACCCTGTACAAAAAAATCAACTAGAAATATCTTCATGTAAGACTTGAAACTAACAGAGAAAAGCAGAAGAAGCCATTTAAGATACAGGATTAGGCATATTCTGAAAAGGACGCCTGTAACTCAAAAAATAGTAGAAAGAATTGACAAAGTAGTTGCCTCACAGCAAAGACAACACAAGAATAAAGACACTGACTACAGAATAGCACAACAACTTTGCAAATTATTTATCTGATGGAATTAATACCCATAAAACATGAAGAACTCAAAAACTGAAAACTCAGAAGAACAACATTATCCAATCAATAAATAAATGATCTGAACACTTTTTCAAAAGAAGTACAGATGACCAAAGAGATATGAAAAAAAAATGTTCACTATCACTAGCCATCAGAGAAATACAAACCAAAACTATGTTCAGCTTCATCTCATCAAGATCAGAATGGATATCGCAAAAAGAAATAAAATCCACGGAAGTAAGAATGTCCAATGCTGGCAGGAATGTGGAAGAAACAGTCTTTATACATGAGCAAGAATGTAAATTAGTGCAGCCACTACAGAAATAAGTCTGGAAGGTCTTTAGAATGTAAAAATAAAAATGATGCATGAACCAGTTATGCCTTCCTTATATACAAAAGAACCAAGTTCAGTAACACAGCATGGAGAGCTGTGTGCGCATTTGTTGTGGTACCACTCAGGACAGTCGTGTTATGGAATTAGCTTGTTGCCCATCAGTGCATGAGTGGAGAGAGAAAATGTGGTACACAGATAGAACAAGGTACAAATCCACTATAAAGAATAAAGAATGTATGTCTTTGTCAGGAAAGCTGTGTTCTTACTAATTGAAATAAACTGAACTCAGAAAGACACATATTCCCTGTATTCTCTCGTATATTTAATCTGAGAGATGGGTGGAGAGAGAGAAGTGGGGGGAGAATAAGGAAAAGGGAAGGGGAAGATTCCTGTTAGTGAAGAAGAAGGGGAATGTAGAGAGGAGGGATTATCAAGAGGGATGGCTTGCATGCCATCAAAGTTGATTATATGCATATGCGACAATGTCAGCATGAAATAAATATTTTATGCAAATAATATGAGCAAAAATGTGCATGGGGATGGGGAGCTAGCTTAGCTGATAAAGTGTGTGTAGTCCAAGCGTGAGGATCTGGGCTCAGATCCCACTCTATGTAAAAAGCCAAGCATGGGGGTATGCATCCATAAGCCGAGTAGAAGGACAGAGAGCAGTTGATCCCCAGAGGTAAGCTCATTCAGTGAAATCAGTGAGAGGTACTTCCTTAGAAAATCATTTGGAGAGTGGCAGAAAAGGACACCTCACAGTGATTTCTGGCCTCCATATACACATGCACACACACACACACACACACACACACACACACACACACACACACACACCATGTACATGTATATACAACACACACACATATATACATGTACAAAATGTGGCCATCATGCCTCTACATGCCTGTGGATGTCTCTTGGAGAGAAAATGATGAAAGGAAACTAAGTGTTGAGGGGAAAGACCCAGACTCAAGAGGGAGGAGAGGTTAGAGCGTAAAGCCTGCGAGATATGAAAGGATAAGGATGGGATGAGTATGGAAGGCAGAGGGAAGAGTTCTGGTGTGCAAGTATGGGGGACATAGAGGCCAAGACTAGGAGGGGGTTGAGAATAATGCGGTGAATCTGAGTGGTGCCATTTCCAAAGGTCCCAGAACTCCAGAGTCTGGATTCATACATCCCCTGAGACAAGGTTGCTCATTCATTTTTAGATAGCTGAGAGAGGTAGACTCTTAATAAATCTGTAAATTCAGTTCCGCGGTGACAAAATTAGGCGTGGTATGCAACACCAGTGACTTTCCCCTTGTTTCTAGTGGACAGTGCCTTCTTTATGCAGGCCCATTAGGTTGGAAGATTTCAGTGAATCTATCACCCAGGGAAAACTGATTCCTAAAGTATTGTGTGTTGACTGAGCAAAAAATGATTTTAAACAAATTCCAAAGCAGGGCGACTAAATAGAAAATTTCCCACGTGAAATGTTGACATTTTAAAGAATGTGTTTTTGAAGATAGATGATGGATTCAGGAGGTTTTGATTGTTTCTTGGATTTTTAAGTGTTTCTTCACATGAAACACATATTTATATGTTTTGCTCATTTTTCTCTCCATTTGTTTGCCTTTTGTGGGAATTTATATTGTAGCTATCAAGCCCTTTCCTGTGATATATATGTTTCAAATATTTTCTCCCAATCTCTTCCTTGGCATTTAAGCCTTTAATCCATTTGGAAATTTATTATGGTATTTGGTACAAGACTAGAATCTAATGGGATTTTTTTTCTAGCTGGAAGCCAGACAATTTCACATCTTTTATTGAATAATCCATTGGTCTCCATTAATCTGTATCGCTTTTTGGTGAGGCTCACATGTAGAAGGGTCCATTTCAACATCATCTATTGTGTTTTAATCAATTGCTCTGAAAATTCTTGCAAACGGGCTTAGCCATTAATTGCATTATTATATGTGTGCAGGGGAGTATTATTTCAAAATGACCTCTTATTATTTTTAGTATTATATCTGGGGTTTAGCATGATTTTGTCAAGTTAGGATATAAATATTGTTGTGAGAGTCTACACAATTGATTGTCAACTTGAGAGAACCCAGAGTTATCTTTGGAAACAAATCTATGCCTATGCCTATGAGGGGGTTTGTAAATTGTGTTAATTGAGGTTGTATGACACACCTGATGTGCAGGCAGCATGGGTCCATGGCTGGGGTGCTGGACTATACACAAAGGAAGAATGATCCACCCGCTAGTGTTCTCGTCATCTCCTTCCTGAGTACAGACACATGACCAGCTTGCTTCAAGCTCTGGTCACCATGCCTTCTGTGCCCTGATATACTGGACCATCACACTGTGAACCCAAATCAACCTATCCTTCCTGGATTTTCTTTTTCTTTCTTTTTTCTTTTTTGTCAAGTATTTTATCACAGCAACACGAAAAGTGACGAACACAATTGGCGTGTAGGATGTCTCTTTGGATAAATGCAGGGTGAGTGGTATGGCTCTCTGGACTGCATTGATCCTGGGTGTCATGGTGTGACATGGCAGCTCATTCTGTCTGCAATACCAGGTACTCTGAGTCCCTTTCAGCCACAAGTATTCAAGTAATATGTAGTTTACCAATGCCACACATCAGTTATTCTTCTTTTCCTTGTTAAGTAAGTTATTGTACACAAAAGCTCAGTCCGCTAGATCTCTCCGCCCGATTCCTTACAGGTTGTTCTGCAGAAACCTTCTGGTGTGTGTCATCTTATTCTACACTGTTTACTACCCATCACTGAGCATGTGTTGCCACTCAAGGGAGCGGCAAGATGTCTTCAAACTCGATTTAAAAGTGGACATGGAGTAAAAGGAGTTTATACTTGATGACATGGCTTGATGGATTATAGCTTGTAGATTCTTGATGGCATCTAAAATTTTGTCTTGAAAGTAAATACAAACTAACATTCTGCTATTAAGAATGACCAAAGTCGGGCCAGGCGGTGGTGGCGCATGCCTTTAATCCCAGCACTCGGGAGCCAGAGGCAGGCAGATCTCTGTGAGTTCAAGGCCAGCCTGGGCTACCAAGCGAGTCCCAGGAAAGATGCACAGGTACACAGAGAAACCCTGTATCGAAAAATTAAAAAAAAAAACAAAAAACAAAAAACAAAAATGACAAAAGTCAGTGCCATGAACGAAGCTAGAACCAGGCAGAATTATTTCATACTGCAGGAAAAGTGAAACCATGTTCTTAGGGCTGGTATTGAAACAGAGAGAGTTTGCACTAGACAACATCTGAGAGAGAGCCCACATTCATTTAAGAATTTTCTAAAAACATACTAGACATAAGTTTGGACTGTAAGCCAGGGATGCATTCTGGCCCAGGTTCTTACTAACTTCCTGATTCACTTTTCAGAAGATCAACTGATTGACTTTTATGTGTGTGTGTGTGTGTGCGCGCACGTGTCTGAGTGCGCACACATGTCTGAGTTTATGTGCATCATGCCTAAGCAGGTACTTGCAGAGTATAGATGAGGGAAGACGCCCTTCAACCTGGGTCTTCAACAAAAGCAGGGAGCACATTTAACTGCTGAGCCATCTCTCCAGTTCCATTCTTGATTTGTCTTTAATTAGTCACAGAAGTTCTCTTATTTCAGTGTCTACATTTGTCTAGGGGAAATCATAATCTACAAAAAGGGTTGTCATGAGGACAAAATGAGATAATCTGTGTGCTTTAAAATTACATTTGTTTATTTATTACCTATGTGTATGTATGTGGGTGCATGTACCCACACCCAAGTAGCAGCTTTCTCTTTCCACCATGAGGAGTCAAGGGCTCCAACTGAGGTCGTCAGGGTTAGTGACAAGTGAATTTACCCACTGAACAGTCTCTCCAGCCCAACTGGTGGATTTTAATGATACAATTTGTCAGTTTGAGGCATTTTTGCCATTTTTTTTATCTTAGTCTAGTTGACATTTTTCTCTACAAATTTAAGTTGCCAACACAATTTCCTTAAAATAAATTATATATACTTACAATTAACTTCCTATAAATTGAGTATTTATGTAATTTAATTTTACTATGAAAGCAGAAAATTCCATTTCGCTATGCAAATTAATCCCAAAAATAAATCAACTGACTTTTGCAATGGAAAGAATGTCATTCAGCATGCTTGCTGACATACCCACAGAGGAATGCCCAGTGTATACTCATAATCTCAACTGTGGCCTTGGGCTAGAGATAGTAAAAACTATGCATACTCTTCCTGGCTCTCCAAGCAAATGAGCTGAAGATTCCGAGTTAATGTGAGTCTGTGGTGAGGAATTTTTGTTTGTTTCTTTGTGTTTGGTGGGGGGAAAAAAAGAGTGTCTGTGCAGTCCAGGCTGGCTCCAAAGCTCCCTGCGCCTCCTGCCTGTACCTCACTATTGCTGGGATTGTAAATATGTACCAACACTAGAAGTGGTGGCGCACCCCTTTAATTTCAGCATTAAGGAGCAGAGGCAGGCTGATCTCTGTGAGGCCAGCCTGGTCTATAAAGGGAGTTCCAGACAGCCAAGGCTGTTACACAGAGAAACCCTGTCTCAAAAAAAAAAAAAAAAAACCAAAACAAAACAAAACAAAAACAGACAAAAACTAGCTTTTATTGTTTTCATTGCTTTTAAATAAATACAAGTCAGATTATGTGCATAATTAATGTTATAATAGGTTACTTGTTGGTTATTGTTTGTTTCAAGAGAAATTCAGGCTACATAGCTCAGGATACTCCAAATATTCAGTCTTTCAACCTTAACTTTTCAAGAACTGAGATTTTGGGTGAGGGCTACTTTCCCAGCAGGGATAAAGAATTTGAGATAATTGGACCTTGAAGTTGTTGACAGCAGCTAACTGGTTGACCAGCTGCCCAGGATTTCATTCCTCATCGTAGTCCAGTCCAGGTGTATAACTTATAGACTCAGCTCTAAGAACAGGAAGGAACCTCACAAATTAATCTCTTTACTTTAAGGTTAAGAACTGAAACCCAGAGACCTTAAATGATTTGTCCAAGTTCACAGTTATAACAAGGCTTAGATTTGTGTCTTTTGGCTTCCAAGACCCTGTTCTCTCCATATTAAAGGTTCTCCTCGTTTACTGGACAGAACTACCAAGTTTACAGCTGAGACCTTAAATATAATTAAGATTACTTAATGATCAAAGTGGATTTAAATTTATTTATCGTTTGTTATTATTGTTATTTAAATAGGTGTGTGTGCTTGCATGAGTTTATGTACACCATGTTTGTGCAAACGCCTACTGAGGCCAGATGAAAGTCTCTGGGGTAGAAGTTAAAGATGCTTGTGAGCTGCAAGGTGAATGCTAGGAACTGAACCCAGGTCCTCTTCAAGAGCAATAAGCACTCTTAACCCTAGGCAATCTCTCCAGCCCTGACAAAAGTAGATTTAACTGAGCAGAGAAGGCAATACGGACAAGATGTTCATTGACGGCCATCCTGCCAGCCAGTTTCAAAATGTGCTCAACATAGGTGGGTCAAATGTCCTCATATGTGAAGAGTGAGGTGTAAAGCTTCGATGTACAGACCAGATTGATCTCCCTCAGAGCAAACTTTTCATTTGTAATCTCTCAGGGTGTGGGAACTGGATGTCCTGGCACCATTTGACTTCAAAACACGTCCTTCATGGCTCAACACAAATTATAAAGGTAATTGGTTTTTTTTTTAATCTTTTAATCCTTATTGATAAGTGGACCAAATGCAAGCAAAAATAAAATATTTTGTGAAGTAGAAAGTGCAAAAACATTAGGCTTTTCTTTTGATTATCCGTAGATGACATCTGACTTCATTAGGAAAAGTAGTATCAAAATTTTTAATGTGGAGTCCTCGAGGTGGCCCAGTGAAGCCTGAAAACCTTGGAACCATGGGAACTATGGGAGCCATGGAACCCAGGTGATAAAAAGAGAGGGCCACCTCCTCGGACCTTCACATGTATGCAGGTCGCAATAAATAATACATAGACATTTAAGCGAATATTCCTAGGATGTGGGTAAGAATAGCATAAATGTAGGGAAGGAATTAGAATTCTCACATTTTTTTTCTTTCTTTTTTTTTTTTTTCCGAGACAGGGTTTCTCTGTGTAGCTTTGCGTCTTTCCTGGTACTCACTCTGTAGCCCAGACTAGCCTTGAACTCACAGAGATCTGCCTTCCTCTGCCTCCCGAGTGCTGGGATTAAAGGCATGTGCCACCACCACCCTGTGAATTCTCACATTCTTATGTAAATTTTATTTCATTTTATTATCATCGACACACACAATACATACATAATACATACATGCACATACATACACATACACACACACACACACATATATATATATACATACATATATATATATATATATATATATATATATAGAGAGAGAGAGAGAGAGAGAGAGAGAGAGAGAGAGTGCGCGCTTTGTGCTATTTTTATCCATACCTGTCACTCTTACTCATTTGCTTCTTCCCAAATGCCCTCCATCATCTTCCCTACCTCCCTTTTTCTGGTGTGTTTCTTGCTGCATGTATCCCATTGCAGTAAATACATTTTCAAAAAAAGGGAGAGACATGGCAATGGATTGACACACAAAGTCTTTGTGAGGTACGAGACAGAGTGAAGCGGAGTTTGCACGGCATCGTTTCATTTTTGAGGAACAGACACCACGGTGTGCGTGGAAAGAAGCCCGGAGAATTCTGCATCGAGCCATGCTCTCCCCGCGGTGGTGACAGAGAACCTTCATGTCCTGCTTTGCACATTCCTGCTTTGTTTTGTTTTTCTTCTCCCAACAATGCAGACTTGCTTGCAAAGGAAATGTTCTGTAGCACAGAAGAGGGCGACTGGGGTTGGTGACAATTAATTGGATGTTTCAAAATAGCTAGTGGAGAGATCTGGAAAGCTCCTAACACAAAGAAATAACAATATATGTCTGAGATGACAGATATGCCAGTTAGCCTGAACTATCCGTTACACATCACGTACATGTATCAAAATGCCACACTGCACTCCATAAATAGACATAATTATCACGCATCAATTAAAAAGTAAAAAAAAAAAATCCACTTTACTCCAGGGGGAAACATTAAGAAAGAAGATACTCGGGCGGTGGTGGCACACGCCTTTAATCCCAGCACTCGGGAGGCAGAGCCAGGTGGATCTCTGTGAGTTTGAGGCCAGCCTGGGCTACAGAGTGAGTTCCAGGAAAGACACAAAGCTACACAGAGAAACCCTGTCTTGAAAAACCAAAGAAAGAAAGAAAGAAAGAAAGAAAGAGAGAGAGAGAGAGAGAGAAAGAAAGAAAGAAAGAAAGAAAGAAAGAAAGAAAGAAAGAAAGAAAGAAAGAAAGAAGATACTTAGAAAAAACGTGTCTCTTTTAAATTTGATATGTTTGCACAATAAATAACTTGTATCTCATAAATTCACAAGCCTGGTGTGTTAATAGGTGAACCCTTTTACTCTGATTGTACACAAAGCACACTTGTTTTGGGGCATTCATGAAGAGTTTGCTTCATTTTTAGAAAATTCAAGTTCAACATCATTTTTCTTTGTAAAATAAAACACATAAATCAGGAGAGCTTAAAACACCTAGATATAGAAAAGAGAAAAAGGAAATAAATCATAAATGTACTCTCTCATTGCAGTTATTCCTAATATTATGTTAAATTTCATCCTCCATTTCAAAAAATGTATTGTTGATTCTTTAAACATTAAAATTCACCAGGAAACCACGGAATGATCTTTTCTGGGAAAAAAAACTATGGAAATGTACAAACTTGCCTGAAGCTAGAAAAAAAACAGATTTCAAATAAATATGATTTGTATAGGAAACTTGGTCAGCTAGAATTACTGAATTCTAATAAAAAGTTTAAGATGTCTTCTTCCAATGGATAACCTTGTTTGGGGGCCATTATTGATTCAATTTTGGGTAGCAAAGAATCTGTCAGAGCAAGAGATGTTTATCGTAACAAGGTAGAAGATGTCAAGCACGCTATTAACTTTCTCTTCATGCACTTCCCTATTGAATTGGGTTTGTTTTTGCACCAAGACTGCAAAAATGATAGTTAGTTATTTAAAAAAGTCAGCTATGGACCGTACATGTATTTGGAATAGGGGAAAGATTTCAGACCCATCTGTTCATATTTATTCTTGCCTTTGGGTCAGTCAGTGAGGATGGGATGCCACAGGCTTTGTGGAGAAGAATATTTACATACAGTAGAGGTCAGTGGAGGTCCTTGGGTATCTAACTCAGGTTTCATTGTTATTTTCTTAAAGGAAACACGGATATTTGTGCACAAGTAAGTCCCTAACCTTGTAAATCTTTAATTTGGGGGCTTTGGAGGATGAAGCTTAGTTAGACCGCTTTAATTTTGTTGCTTTGAGAATCTAGGCTTGTCTGATTGGGAGGTAAGTTTCCTGGCAGTCTCAAAGCTCTGGCCTTGGATTTAGGGTCAAGTTTCTGGTCTGTTTCAACAGTTCTGTTGCCCTCAAGCTCAGATGTAGCAATGGCAATGGGAAATGTGCATCCAGTGAGTCTATTTCATGACTAATATCTTTCTGCTGTGTCGCACAGGTCAGTCTAGATCAAACAGTAGTCTGTTCCCAACCCTGCTCATTGTCCTTGAACTCTTCACCTTGAAGGTGATACTGAATTGCTGGTACCCTGGCCTCAAGTTCTGTACTTGGAATTGTGTTTGCTTTCAAACCCTAAGCAAAGCTTAAGTGTTCTTCATCAGTACATGCCAATACACCTTGTGACAAAAGACAAAATTCACCTTCTCCAAGCAGCTTTAAGTTAACTTATAAAATCAAATGTTGACAATAGAAATCTCTCTAGAATGTGTGTGGGAGCCCACAGAGGTTTCCTTGTGAGATCTGAGCTCGTTTTACCCAGAAGGGGTGCATAAGGTGATGACTTGATCACATGAGTGGTTACTAGGTGTTTGAAAGGATTGGCTTTCAATATACTTGGCTGTGCGATGTGCTTTGATCTAGCAAGGGGGAGGTCTTTTGCCTCACCCCTTCGCGTTGTTATAAAAAGGCCTATTGAAGCAACAAAAGGGGCCATTGGGTATTGACCTAGGTCCTCCCAAAGCTATCCCGTGTTTCTGTCTGTCTCATCTTTGCTATCTTTGTATCTAAAATGTTTCTTATTTCTCTCTCCTGCTCATAGGAACCTTTTAAAAAGGTGGGAGGGTCTCCCACAAATGTGGGATGTGGTGGCACAAACCTTTAATCTCAGAACTTGGGAGGCAGAGGCAGATGGATCTCTGTGAGTCTGAGACCAACATGGACTACATAGCAAATTCTAGGCCAGCCCTGGCTACATGGCCAGACCCTGTCTTTTTTTAAAAAAGCTGAGGAAGCAGAAGGAATGTGTACTAGGTGATATCAGTAAGATGCAGCACAATACTTCCTTCCTTGGTTTTAGTGTGCAGAACAGGATGAACTGATAGACATCTGACTTGATGGACAGGCTAACCTGATTTACATTAGTCAAAGGGATTTCCATGCCTTAGAAAAAGGAGTTGATGTGAATTCTCCATTCATTTTCCGAAACCTATTGAGTTAAATGGAATGAGACTGAAGAGGAGCATGAGGGATGCCTTCAGAAGACGTCGCCTGGAACTCGCTTGCTAGATGTCTTTCATATTCTCCCCTGCAATTTCTGGTTTGCTAGTTAATAAATTACCTCCACACAGTAGGAAATAGGGTGATTATTTTACTTTCTGCCCTGCAAAATATCACATTTGCCTGCCTACATGTATTGATTCCAGGATTATATGAACACACCAATCATTTGATAGTTTTAAAGTGAAGGAAAGGGAATTTTTATGGGACTAGTATTATTTACAAAGGGACTTTGGTGGCATATCAAATACATTTGTTAAAGTTGGATGGATCTCTTCCATGAAACTATTATCATCTTTAAAAGGCAAAGGGCTGTCCCTTCATATGCCCAAGGCACCAAGATTTGTGGTCCTGGCCTATAAATAACCAATTTTTTATATTCATTCATGGAAAACCCTGTGTGACAACCAGTGGATTTGGGAGCATTTCCAGCTACACCAGTCATTGATAAGGCTTTATTTCACCTATGGTGATAAACCTTGCTTCTCAGATGACTACCTGAACATACCAAATGATTGCACAAGCACGAAGGAACTTATTTCTAATTAAGCACTGTGTGTACCAAAAGAAAAGAAAATTACCATTGAATAAACCCATTCATCTTTTTATTCCTAAAAACTCAGAACTGAATTTTTTCATTAATTTCATTAATATTTCATACTTCTTAAAATTAGATTCACAATTCAATAGCTGGCCTGCCTGCATGGACTGTGTTGTAACTTCAATGTTAACCACAAAAACTGTGAAACAGAAATTATATTTTGTTGTTGTTTTTTTTAAACATGAGGATAATGAAGATAGAAAATGTGAGAAGTTCTTATCCACATTTGAATTTGGATAAGAGAACATTTGCAAAACTTCAACCAAAAATACTTTGCATGTATGTACATGTGTTTAGGAGTGACTACTTGAGTTTGGATAACCTATCAGGAGCTCCTCCCTGGGGAAGAATGATTCTCCCTCTCCTTGGAGCCACTAATGGCCTGCAGCTCCCCACGCATGGTGGCTTGTCAACTGATCAGTGTAGTGGGTGGCTGCTCCAGCCCTTGACCTGGAAGTACTACCCCCATTGAGGCTTCCAGTAACTGTCACACCTACGAGTCGGGGCCGAGAGAGGAGCCCTTAAGACCTGAGAACCAGATGCGCTGGCTCTCTCCATTCCTGGATCCTGGAAGCTGGAGGTAGACCGAGCAGAGTTCCCCAGAGAACACCGCGGGACTGCGCCACACCTTCCCCGGACCCTGTAACCTATCCCTTCACTTGTAAGTTACCCCACAAAATAAACCTTCTTTTCACTACGTGGAGTGGCCTTAATACTTCCACCAATAGATCAACCTTATGCAGGTCTTGTTAGGTGACAATGTGAACTCTGCAGGTTGTATTTATGCATGTATACATACATCTGCATATATATGTAACAATACCAATTAAAGAAAAAGAGGTCATGCATTTCGGAGGGAAAGGGAGAGACATGGTAGGAAGCATAAGAGTGAGGAGTGAAAATGATAGAAATACAGTGTTCAAGTATAAAGTTCTCTAATTTAAAAAACGATTAAATTTAAAGTAGTTCTTGGCAGATTAAGATTTCATGGTCGTGTGTTAATTGCATTTCAGAATTGTTAAATGTTCTAAGCACAAATAATCACCTTCTTTCTTCTGTTTGCAGTCCTCTTAGTCTCAACAGAAGTCACCTACTTGGTTTGTGGATTGCTTTTTGCTCTGATTGCATAAGAATGGGTTTGGGATTATGTGATTTCCATGACTATACTTCCTGTACTCATCACATCAGCTGGTACGCAAGATAAAATAACAGAAACAAGGAAGGTGTATTATATCTGATGTATCAAAACCACTCTTCTTTTTATTTAAAAATTTTTTTCATTTTACATACCAACCCCAGTTCCCCCTCCCTCCCCTTCTCCCACCCCACCAACCCCCCATCCACTCCTCAGAAAGGGAAAGGCCTCCCTTGGGGAGTCAACAAAGTCTGACAAACCAAGTTGAGGCAGGACCAAGCCCCTCCCCTCTGCATCAAGACTGAGCAAGGCATCCCTCCACAGGGAATGGGCTCCAATAGGCCAGTTCATGTGCCTGGGATAGATCCTGATCCCACTACCAGGGGTCCCACAAAACCACTCTTAAGAGTTGAACTTGTGCTTTGGCAGGGAATGGTTCCCACCAATTCTTTCACTCCAGGGCTGTACTGACATGCAAATGTTCCTCCTCTTTTCACATTTAACTACCATAGGCTTACATAGGCTTTGCCTCCTTAATAATTATTTTTTTTCCCCAAAACTTTTCCCTGGGACCAAAAAGATGAGGAAACAAAGAAAACCTAGTGTATTTACAGGTCAAAGGTTATTTTTCATAGTTCCAGTTCTGAGACAACAAAATGACTAAGGGGGTAACACTTCTGGTCACCAAGTCAGAAGACCTGAGTTCAATTCCTGGGATACACAGGGTGGATAGGAAAGAAATGACTCCAGCAAGTCATCTTTGGACCTGCACATGTGTGTTGTGGCCTGTGCATAGGTGTATTTAAAATGTGAGTGTATGTAACATGAATCTTAAAAGGTCTTATTAATAAAAAACAAAAACGAAAAACAAAAAACACAAAAGACAAAAGAACGCAGAGCCAGATATTGAGGTGAAAGCTGAAAGATCAGAGAAACAAAACAAGCCAGCCAAGTGCTTACCTCCACCAAATCCTCAGCCTCAAGAGAGAGACTTCCTGTTTACTCATACCTTATATAGCTTTCTGTGCCCTGCCATCTTACTTTCTTCCTAGTGCTGGGATTAAAGGCGTGTGCCACTGTTCCCAGTGTGGCCTTGAATTCACAGAGATCCAGATGGATCTCTGCCTCTGGAATGCTAGGATTAAAGGCGTGTGCTACCACTGCCTGACCTCTATGTTTAATATTGTGACTGGCTTTGTCCTCTGATTCCCAAGCAAGCTTTATTGGGGTACATAATATATCACCACACATGTACACATGCACACACACACACACACACACACACACACACACACACACACATACGGGGTGGGGGTGGTGAGAATAAACATTAAAAAGGAATATCATTTCTAACATGTCTTTGTTTTTAACTGATGATCTTGGGAGTCAAAATTAAAATACATTTGCTTTGGAGTTCTACCTTTTACTAAGAGGGAAGTCATGAACAAGTCACACCTCCCACACAGATTTCCTTCACTGCAACAGTGGGGAGACCTGGTGGGTGAACTTTCAATGAGATCCTGAGAAACTGTCTGAAGAGCAGTTAGCACATGACACTCAGGGAGAGATAGATAGTTCCACCCATCTCTTCATCCAGCTGTTCAACATTTACTCTTCTCTAATCTTTTCTCCTTTTCTATCCTACATTATTATTATTTTTTTAAAGCATACTAGTCAAAGTGTGGATCATTTTCAAGCATGTTCTACCTCAACGTTAACTGTTGCTTATCACCAACTTAAACCAGTCTTGTATCTCCAGTGCCTTGATATATGGATAGAATGAGCTGCCACCAGCTCAGTAGCACACATGTCCAAGTGAATTGCTTCTTGCCAGCTTCACTGCCTTAGGAAGTCCCAGCCAATTTATCTTCTAGCTTTAGTATCATCAGACACAAGCTCTCCATCTCTCCATCAGTTTGTCAGAGAATCACTGGGTAGTCCCCCCTCCTCCACAGCCCTCTCAGATTCTCTATTTTACCTTAGGGATCTCAGTTTTCTATAAGATAGCCATAAGATAGTTGTTAAAAAAAGGGGGAGCATTTGGGAGCATCATATGGTCCAATCCTTAAGTTTGAGAGGAATTATTAACTCTGTAACCAGAAAAAAATGCTATCAAATTGCCTGATACATGCCATGCAGAAACTATTGAACAAATGCTTGATGGAGCACATATAGATCAAAGCCAGCAGTGTGGTGGTACACACCTGTAATCCCAGCACTCAAGAGACAAAGGTTGGATGATCACAAGTTCTAGGCCAGCTTGGGCTACATAGCAAGATTCTCAAAGCAATTAAAACAAAAGAGAAGTGATTCAGAATCCCTAGGGTGTGAGGTACTGGGTGCTTAGCACAGTCTTGGAATCATCACTACTGCTTATTCCTCCAGATGATCTCCAGACAATTCACGATGCCTTTCCTATGGGGGGTGTTAGAAATATTCACCTGAATAAATGAATGACCTTCTACAGAAGTGGTTCTCAACCTTCCTGGTGCTGCGACCCTTTATTACAGTTCTTTACATTGTGATGACCCCACACCATAAAATTATTTCCATTGCTACTTCATAACTGTAATTTTACTACTGTTTGCACCATAATGTAAATATGTGTTTTCCTATGTTCTTAGGTGACCCCTGTGAAAGGCTCAGTTGACCCCCAAAGGGGTCATGACCCACCAGTTGAGAACTGCTGCTCTACAGCAAAATAAATTTTGGCTACCTAGTTTCATGAGTTCAGACAAAAATGTTGTCATATGGATATATTTGATCAAACATAAATATCTCTTGGTAAGTTAATAAAAATGCATACTTTTGGACATGAATGTCAGCATTTTTTTTTCTTTTTCTATTGCAGATACATTGGCATTCCCCTTGACGTCACATTGGTGGGCTGCTTTAGGTACATGAAGGGCTCAAGTTTAGATGCTCTAATGCACAAAACAATGTTAAGTAGAATAAATGTTGGAAATAGACTTTACCTTAGGCATAGATTTTATTACATTATTCTAAGATAGTTATGAAATTGTCTGAATTATAAAAACCATCACAATTTTATTAAAGATAGAATCTACTGGTTGTCTCTTCTGGCACATACATGCTCCCAGGACAGCCCCAAAATAATCCACACCAGACTTGCTGCATTTTTAGCATGTGTTTGAGTCAAAAATAGATCAGTAAACACACACATACACACACACACACACACACACACACACACACACACACACACACACACACACCCTATACTCTACTTCTCCTTTTTATATAATTTGAACCTATGAAGGATTGCCATAAATGTCCCTTTATGTACTGAGCAATGTATAAGAGATATGAGGGGAAGGGAAAGTGACACAGCCTAGAACAGAACTCATTCCTAGCGATCCTGAGGACCTAAGTGAAGCATGCACAGCTGGGCATCAGGCCAGGCAGCACAGGCATTGCTGGCTCACAGCGGTTCAAATCCAGAACATTCCAAGCCTTATTAATTTTATGCAACACCTAACTTAAAACCAAAGCTGCCCACATCCAGCTCCTCCTTAGTTCTAAGCAAACGAACCTAAAAACTGTGTGTCTTGGAGTTGGATCCCATAGAAATCGTAGGTAGGAAAATCAAGTGAAACAGTCAACATGCAGGAAATGAGACAGTTGGTGTCAGTTTTCTTCCTTAATTATATTGTGTAACGATCAAAGAGTCAGGAAGGAGAGAGAAGTAGGTTCGCAGCTCCATCATTTGTTTATATTAATAAACGACCATGTAAAGCGAAGCCAGGCGTCTCTAAACAGATTTCAGTGCTTGTCAAGTATGGAAACTATTTACTTATAAATCTGTTGTATTTGGCTTCCAAATACAAAGATTATGTAATTTGTAAGAAATATTATTATTCTTGATTTGGCAATAATCTTGTCTAATATTTTCAATCTGTTTTGCAAACAGCAGGCAAACCCAAACATATTCTAGTATTGCTACTCAGTATTAATGGCCCACACAAAATTAAAATATTTAGGTTTATTGATTTCTTAATATGAGCCAGGGCCTTTGTACATATCTCACTAACTTTACTACAATTCTGTAGGGTATTATATTCTAATTTTTCAAATGTGACAACGAAGCTTATGGAGCCAGTGAGTCCTATAAGTAGGCAATTTTTGTGTGCTTCAGGCCACCGTCAAAGGCGCCTTTGCATAGATACCCCAGGACTATCCTACAGAGAGAGAGAGCAGAACTTACAGAAATGTATGGAGCCAACCACTCCTAGGCAATGCAAAGTGCTAACAAAGCTGAAAAAAAAAAAAAAAAAAAAAGCTAGCATGGTCATTGGAATCAACAGTTCCGAGAGGGCTCCCCTGTCTCTTTCTGACCCTAGAAATGTTTCTCCCCATCTCCTTGAACAACAGAAACATCCAAGACAGGTCTTGGGAAATAAGACTTGGTTGAAAAATAGCGAATTTCTATTTCCACTCTTGACAAGAAAATTACAGGATGGCTTTATTTATTTATTTTCAAGTATTTGAAACAACTCCCAAGGGCTATTTATAGCATATTCAGGATCCAACCCCCAGCATAATATCTGACCCATAATGGTGTTAATACATATGTGTTGTGTAAATATGGAAAGAATTAATGAGATGTCAAGAAGTACCAGAGCTTTCCCTTCAGTGTGGTAAGTTCATTGAGTTTCACGTAGGGAACATATTTTAGTGAATTATGAGGGAGGCTGTTGAATCTTTACCTTGGGAGGGTTAAGAAATAAAATAGATGATTGTTTTTGTAGACTATTATAGCTATTGAAAGTTTTACTATGATTACATCACATGATACTTCACTTTCATGTCATATATTTATATAATTATATGCTTGTATATAAAGTGGGAGAATAAAGATAATTTGATGTGGTTCCAGAGGACCACATGACTTTCATTACAAGATTATATGGAATCAAACCCTGGATGTGTATTTGTGACACACTCTTCTCTTCAAAAATGACATTGTCATTTCCACAAGAGTACAGGAAGCCATGGAACCATTGTGACTATTTTTGCTGCTCACACAGGAAACTGAATTCATTGATGTAGTAAGAAAATTAGCCAATGAGCTGGCAAGATGGCCACTGAATAGCTCCAGTGCTGGTATTATCTGTATTCACTACTTACTTTCCTATCTGTGGTTAAGAGCACTGGCTGCTCTTGCAGAGGACCTGAGTCCATTTCCTAGTACCCACATGGCACCTAACAATCATCTGTAACTCCAGTTCCAGAAGCTCCAGTGCCTTCCTCTGGCCTCTGTGGGCACTGTAAGCACACACACACACACACACACACACACAACACACACACACACACACACACACACACACACACACACACACACACATAGGCCAAACACCCATGCACATAAAATAAAAATTAATGAATCTTTAAAAATAAGAAAGACAATGAATCAAGCCTTTTCATTCCCTTCAGCTGGCTGTTGTCAACAACAATTAATTATCTCTAGTGCCAGTGTTATCTGTATTCACTGCTTACTTTCATATCCATAAGGCCGAAGTCTTAACTTTCTACTTTTTTGCAGATATTGTTTGGTACATTCAGATAACACACATAGAAAGTACTGAGGTTTTATCTGGCATAAACCTTTCAAAGACGCAAATTTTAGTAAGCTTCAAAAAGAGGTGCTAAAATGGAGGAAAGAGGGCAGGTTGAAGGACCATACATAGAAGTTAGGGGTGTGGCACAATTGTGAAGTTCCTGCCTGGCCTGTGTATTATCCCCAGTACAGGAAAATAATGCTGTGGAAGCAATTTCCTTCCAACTGCATCTACAACATACAGAAGTCTACCTCACTGGGGCCCTGGCCGTCTCCCACACATAGAGAATGTCAACTCAAGGCCAGAGAAAGTTGCCTTTTGGACATAATAAACTAGTTCAAGGAATTTCAGTATTGATAGCTGGGGTTGTTTTAAGACGTGGGATTGTTCAGACAACAGTCACAGTATGACACATGACACTGTTGTCTTTGTTTTCCTTTGAGTAAAAATGTAGACAGCAAAGCCGGGCGGTGGTGGCGCACGCCTTTCATCCCAGCACTCGGGAGGCAGAGCCAGGAGGATCTCTGTGAGTTCGAGGCCAGCCTGGGCTACCAAGTGAGATCCAGGAAAGGCGCAAAGC